GCTTTATTGAAAAAAGCTCAAAAATAAAAATGAAAAGGAATAACCAAATATTACTAAAATTTAAGTTCATATCATTTAAATAATGAAAGTAAAATATTAAATAACTTTCACTGAAAAGATAAAACTTGTTCAAATAAATTTTCATCTTCTTTTGAGATTTGGTACTGACGCCCAGAAGATGTTGAAGGTGTTTTAACAAGACAAATAACATTCATTCTTGGCACCCAGCAATTATCATCCTGATTTGGCCAGTGGTATGACCGACTTGGGTAATGTGGATGCATAAATTTTACCATAAAATCATCATTCTCTTTATCAACTTCATAAACCATACCAAGCCAGTAAAAATCGTCATATTTGCAAAATAGATATTGTGACATCAAAACATTGTCAATTTTAATAATTTCATATTTTTGTTTTTTGAGGAAGTCAAATGTTAGAGAAAAATGATCATCATCGGATACCCTTTTCATTTTTATAATTGAATGGGAAGATGGTATAAATTGATGGAAACTTGGGAAGATGGTATAAAACGATGGAAACCCAGGAATAGTGGTTGCTATTAAAAGTCTATCTGTAAGTTTGTTTCTTACTAGCTCCATTTCTTCAGCAGAGACATACACAAACGTAATCCCACTGATTGACTTTTTACAGAATTCAAACATTGTTTGAGAAGACAGTATATGACCTGTGGTTGGACTCTGCAAGCTAGCTGTTGCAACAAGCCTTTTAACAGTGCCACCTATTCCATCACATGGAGATTTACCATGGCTTGTTGCAAAGAAATTCCAGATGCAACAAACAGAAAAATCTTGAGCGTGGTGACATAAATTGTAAAAATGTTTGCAGTTTTTATACTGCCCTGCACAGCCATCAGAAAAATAATGAATTTTTTTAATTGTGGGACAAAGATGAGTTTTAATATGATTAATGGTTTTATGCATAACCTCATTGATAAATCCAACATCATGATTTAAATCATCTGAAATTACACACAAAGAAGATATTTCCAATTTCACTTTATTGTAGTAGATGACAACTGGATGAAGGGAACATTGACTCTTGCTCCAATGGTAACTCTGAATCTCGTCTTGTACTACAAACGTGTAATTCTCTGCAAAATCTGCCAGTACAATAGCCTCATCAATACTAATTGTTTCTTTGAGATGCTTTAAATAGCTAGATTGTGATTTTGCTATAAATGAATGAGAAGTGATATTATCAAGTTTTTCACACAGAAGCTCTATGAATTCATTTAATGGAAGTTTTATTGTTAATAATTCAGTTCTATCTGTCGTTGTCCACTGTTTGAAATCCACTGACTGTTCATTTTCATCACTGTCATATTGCTCTTTTGGATCATCATTTTGTGCGAGATACTGCTGGAAGTAATTTTGGGCATGTTGTATGCCAGGACAACTATTGCATTGGTGAATCATGCAAACTTTAGATTTTCTGCTGCAGACAATTTTTTCAATAATTTCATGGTAAGATGGTTCAAGGCCTATAGCACTCAACATTAATTTAACATTTTGGTGTATTGTACACACACAAACAGAATGTGTACCTTTTGGACCAGCAAGGATGCACCATTTAGGTCGAAGACTGCAAAATTTAGAAAATCCAATTTTATGGCCTGGGTACTTTGTCTTATATGCCACATAGAGCTCCTTTAAGTTACACAAAATCAATTTTTTTGACATGTATTTTTTTCCCCCAACACTTACACAGTCTTTTTTACCTGGCATTTGCCTTGAATACTCATTGTCACAGTAAAAAAGCTTTACAAGTTCTATAACATCTTTACCGATTCAAGGCCGTTCAACCACATCAGGGTATGCTATGATGCCTTTTTGGTCGTGTAAAAACTTTGCATTTTGAATTTTGTGTTTAGAAACTGAAAACTCTTTTGCTGCTTTTCTGATAGACCAAGATTTTGGGGTTAATGTCAAAATTTGAAGTTGCTGTCTCCTGTTAGAAACCTTAAGTTTTTCTTTCATGCACTCTACAAGGAAGTCTAGATCGCCAGCTTTGGTTTGAATTTCCTTTAGAACTTCATTTTTTGGTGCAACAAGATCAGATTCGGTTATATCCAGAGCAGTTGCAAGCTTCTTAATAACTGCTTCTTCAACTTGCTTTATCTTTCTCTTTCCAAGTGAAGGCTTGTTAGAGGTTTTGGGTAAATGAACTTTAAAAGGAGACACTTCAAGTTCGCATAAAGTACTGTTGAGCAACGATCTTGTTGATTCCAGTATAAGATCTTTTGCCATATTATCTTCAGGTAATTTCATCTCCAACTCGTTCTCTTCTGATTCTTAACTTGCTAATTTATGCCTGCATTGTGTACAAAGTTTTTCACCTGGAACTACGAATTTGCCTTTACTGCATAGGTATTTTGCTGTATCCAAGTTGATTTCACAAAGACTACCTAAAAAAAGGGAAGAACTCTTTTAATATGTATAAAATTTTTAATAAAACCTTCAAAAGTTTAAAGTTGTATGGCATTTAATTGTGCACTTTCAGAAGTCAGCTAAAAGGTTAAATATAGCTAAAATAGAATTTTGCTGTCAAGAATTTCATTATTGTAATTCAAAACGTTTCTACAAAACTAAAAGTTTTACTATAAATTCATGATTACTATAAATACCTTTTATAGTTTTGTTATGAATATTAAATGGATTGCAGCACCGTGTTAATTTAGTTGTATAACGCTTCAAATAAACATGTTTATGATGGAGACAAGTTGTTGGTTTGATATTTATTATTGAGAGCCCAGTCCTCCACATTAATATTTCTCTTTCATATTCAATAATATCTTCAAAAGGTTCGATTCCCAGCAACGATGTATATGTTGTAAGATGACATTCACTTTCTAGGTTGATTCCAATAGAGCACTTTTGACTGTTTGCCATGACTAAGAAACTGAATTACCAAACAAGATTTAATAATTATTTAATCTAAAATTAAAATAATTTTTTTCATTGAAATTTGTTATTATTAACTGTTGTTTTAAAACTATATTTAGACACATAACTGACGTCCCAAAACTATATTTACACATCACAGCAGGTGTTGCAAAACTATATTTTTCATGATAATTCACTTCACAAAATTTTATTTCTATATCAAAATCAACCTTAATAAACTGTTTTTACACACCACAATTGAACCCATGAGAGTCAGGCAATTTGTGAAAATGTTACCCCGTTTTTTGGTTAGGTAATATTATACCATTTTAAAATTCAAATATTATTTTAAAATATTAGGAATTGGGTTAATTTCTCTTCGTCTTTGTATTCAATACCTTTAAAAATGGTCAGATACCAATTTGCAGTCATATTTCTCTACTAGATCTTAAATTATTCACACAATAAGTATCGCTATAAAATCTATAATAGAGAATAGATGCCAAATAAAGAAATTTTTTGTCTAAATTTCAAAATGAAATATCTTTTCTATGCTTTAAGAACCCAAAACCATTTTTTTTATAAAGATAGCCTAGGATCACCTACTTCATTTGAAAAAAAAATGGAATCCATGAGACTTGGGCAACTTCGGGAATTAATGAAAGCGCAACCCATGGTTACAAAACAAAAAATTTGACTGGCCATTTTAAAATGAAAAAATAACTATCAAAAAATTTAAATTTCACTATTTTATCTACATTTTTGAATTCAGCACCCTCAAAAATGGTCAGGTACTGATTTTCAGCCACATTTTCCCACTAGATCTTAAATTATTCAATTAAAAGTACTACTACAAAGTTCATAATGGCGGAAGTGGAAAAAAATAGGACGTTTTAGACTGAATTTCAAAATGTCATAACTTTTGAACGGTTTGGATTTGGAAGCTCAAACTTTACATTTTTTTTTGTTATATTGATAGGTACCACTGGTTCAAATTTGAAAGAAATCTGAGAGGGTAACTGAAAAATTTCAATTTTTTGTCCCACTTTTACATGGAATTACCCAACACGTCTCAGCAGTTTGGGATCCCTTTAATAGGTTTCAAAAATCACATTTTTTTCATAGTTTTTAATCAGTCTTTTTCATGTGATTTTTTTTAACAAAAAAATATTTGCTCTCCAGATCATATGAATTATATGACATTTAGTGAATGGTTTGATATCTTGACGATTAAATATGAAACCTGATACCTGAGTAATACAAAATGACATAGACTAACAATTTTTTAAAAAAACTAGATTTTGTAGTATAGAATATGCTTTTATTAAGTATCACTAGTTTACAGTATACTAAAAATTTAGTATACAGTTTACTGTATAGTATACAGTAAACAAAACCTTTTTTTTGTCGAAACCGTTATCGTTTATAAAAAAGTTTTAATGGTTTACTTAAAAAAATTGTGTTTGATTTTTTATTAAATGTTTTTGTTTGCACGTTTTATTATAAAATTTAATATAAGTTACATTATATACAATATTTTAAGTTAGTATACCGTAAACTGTAACCGGCGATCCATAGTTTTTACTATTAAGGGAAGTTGTAAATATTGCATAATACCACCATCATACATAATAAAATTTTTATTATAAAAGATCTACATGTTTTTGTTTTTTGGTAATTTACTTACAATAAGCGAGCTACTTTCACTGATTTTATCATAACAGATATTTTTATGTTAAATATGAAAACTTACTTATGAGTAAGATTCTTAATTTGTTCACCATAATCTTTTGCTATTTTATTAAATATAAATATGAATTGATCTTAAAGATTGAAATTATTTAATATTTTATGTTGTTACAATAATATGCATAAATACAATGAATACAAATTTAGAATATGAAAAAAATATATCATAGACATGTTAATATGATTATTGCTAGCCAAAAGTCTGTTAAAAAATATTTTAATTTTGATATTAAAAACATTTTAATAAATTTAAAACAAAAGAACATATAAAATATAAGTAGCAAATATAAGTCAGTGAAACCAGATTCCAGTCAACTCAAAAAAGTAATTGTAAAGATATCTAACCTTTTTTTTAACTTTTTTCACATCTTTCTTTTCCTAACAATAAAAAAAAAATTTTATATTTTAAATAAAACATTGCTTTGTATAATAATACCATGATAATCTTTTTTTATGATATAGCAAGAAACCATTAAACTTCAGGTGTTGGTCTGAGCATTAAAATCATGAAAATTTGAAACCTTAAACTTACACCTTTTTGAAAAAAAAAATGATTGAAGACTATACACAAATAAAATAAGGCAAACAAATGACCTGTCAAACTAATAGAATGTCAACTTAACAAAGAAACAATTGAAAATAAAAACTGCATTATTTTTGGAGATTTTGTTAATTTGTTAATGAAACACCCTGTAAAAGGGTGTTTATAATGGTGGATATACAGGGTGTACTCACTGGTTATTGTTAATACAAATAATCATTGTATACACTGTGTATAGAATCATTAATGTAACATTAATTTTTTTTATGTTTAATGCTTAAAAAAAGCTATATGTACTTATGCATTATCAATGACAGACTATTGAATTTCAGTTCAGTTTTAAGGTATATATTACATATTTTAAGGTATATATTATGTATTTTGAGGTATATATTATGTATTTTAAGGTATATATTATGTATTCAAAACATAAGAGATTCTTAAATTCATTTAGATTCATCTTACATTCTTTAAAAATAATTAAATAAAGTTTAGGTCATAAGTTCTTTAGGATGCAAAATAAAAAAAAAGTTGTTTAATTAATTGCTAAAGATGTAGTATATGTTCCTGAATCTATTCAGTTGCATCATTTTAATGAGAATAGATGATGGTCAAGGGTCTTTAAAAACTGTAATGAACATCCTGTAATGAACATTTAGAAGATTCTAAAAACTTTAGGTGTCACTGGTGTCAATAAAGTATCAATTTTGGATTGTGATTGTGAAGTTAAATGTGAAGTTCATGAGAGTAACTAAACCTTAAGAAGATTTTGGAGAAGAAAAAAGTTTGTGACAAATGCGCAACTTAGACAACTTAGGTTTCAAGAGTTATACAAATTACTTTATCAGGTTGGGTTAAAAATTCCACATTATGCAAGCATATCTTGCTTCTTTTATTGAAAGGAAACAAAGATCCTTGGGTGTTTTCAGTGAACAAACCCTTGACTCTAAAAAAAAAATAAAAAGGTTTGCAATGTCAGAACTTAATAAATAATAGGAGAAAATTAATGAAAAAGTCACATTTAATTATGAGGATATAACTATACAAACATTCTCCATTATAAACATGTATATAATATTTATGCCTATATTTAATTATATACAATGTAATCAATTACTTACAGCTTTAAATCTTCATTTATTGTAGTCACTTTGTTATTATGTATAAAATGCATGTCAATTTTGTCTAACTATTTTCTGTTGATTATTAAAATATCAAACTTTCTTAAATAATTCTTGATTAACCATGAATATATCCAAGTTACATTTACCACTGTATAGACCATCAGTCAGCGAAACTCGAAGCATTTTAGGTTTTAGGGGTAATGATTAATTGATTATAAAAGATTTGCTTTATAATATCATAGCTTCAGACAATAATATTTAAAAGAATGTAGCAACTAAATTTTGTTTAGTAAATTATGAAAAAAGTATATGTCAAATTTATGAATTAGTGATTTTTTAGTTTTGAAGTTGTTTTTATTTACAAAAAAAATGGTAATAGTTAATTTATTACATTTTAATTGGTTTTTTTAAATTGCTCATAGAAAGAATGTTGTTTAGAAATACAAGTTTAGTTTTTGTGCTGTAGGCGAAGATTTTTTTTAAAACAGCAAATTGTTTAACAAAATGAGTAGACAGTTGATTAACCTCTACGAGAAATAAGCATTTAATTCTCCAGTAGTAGGTGGTGTTTTTCAATATTTAATTGTAGTATATGAACTATACAAAACTATACAAACATTTCTGTTGTTAATTTAGTACAGCCTTTATTTTTATTAGGTTATTTTTTCTGTTAGGCATTATGACTTGTTTTGAGTTTGTTAACTATATTACTGTTGCGTCTGTTGCAATTTAATGGAATCCTTAACTTCTATCAAATTAAAAAAAAGTTTTGTAACTAATGTTTCTTCGCCGCATGTGTTTAACATAACTATACCAAGGCTTAACTTTCCTAATATACTTTTTGATCTTAAATAATAATAAAAAAAACCGTAAACATGTAAATAAATTATTTTATTAGTTAAATGGTTTGAACTAATAAAATAAATTAAAATTAGATTTTATAAGGTAATAAAATAACAATTGCGCTTAAAAAAGCATGAGAACATCAGGCATTTAAAAAGTAATATTTTTTAACCTTGCTATGCTTGAATAAATTTGAGAATAAAAGAAAAAATGAATTGAAAAAAAAAATGAACTATTGTTTTAATAAAACATGTCAAACTTAAAATGCAAGTAATTACAATAAAAAATTTACAAGATAATATTTAAAGAATATTACATATTTTTTACATGTATTTCAATTTGCATGCCGACACTTTTCAGGTCAGCAGTTGTATGCTGTCCTAAAGCAAAGATAGGTCGGCTTTTGCATCGGCATTGCCGAATGCCAACCTGAATTTTACTGACTGGACCAATATGCATGCAGTAAATATTTATATACCATAGGTATTGTCGCATACAACATTATAAAAACTCTTATGCAGGGTTTTTAATTTAAAAATTCAGCAATATCTTCCAAGAAAATGAGGCTTTTCTTTTATTTTCAGCTGTTTTTTTTTTGTCAGTTAGACAGTTTAATAGTTAGCCAAATATTTTTACATTACAATGACATAAATTTAAAATGTCCAAATTGATATAGTGTATATCATTGACATTTTTCTCCCAACAAGGCTGCAAAGCAGCCACCATTAAGTTGGAAGTAACTAGAAAACAAAGAATAGAGTTAAAGAGCAAGGAAACAGTTGACAGAGGACTTAAAAAGTTGTAGATTATATAAGGAAAACATGAAGATGGAAGAGAGTTCCTAAGAGATGAAGTGAGTCAGGAAAAAATGAAGATGGGAGATAGTTCCAAAGAGTTAGAGTGAGGAGTAAAAATTAGACAAAAGTTTTTAGACTTTGCTAAACGATGAGTCAAGCAAAAATGAGTTTTGATTGATGGAACTATCTGGAAGTCAAGCAAAAATGAGTTTATCTTGATGGAACATATCATATATTAAAACTTTGTTTTAATATACCAATAATAAAATAATTATAATATTAAAAAAATAAAATAAAAAATTAAACCAATAATATAATAATTAAAAGTTTGTTATAAAATAATAACTGTAAACAAATTTAAAAAACTTAAAAAATACCTTTCTTAACCTGGGACTTTCGCTTTTTTCACTTTCATCCTCTTTCTTTTTATCTTCTTTTTCAACTTTTATTTTTTCATCTTTTTTTTTAATATCTTTTACCTTCTTTTCAATTTTATTGAGATGAGCTCTTGTAAAAAACTTTCCGTAATTTAACAACCTTTAAACAATGTTTATGAAAACTTTTAGGCATAACTAACACTATTAAAATTTATTTCAGTACTTTTCTAAAAATATAACTAAATATTTGAATTAGTTAAAAACACTTTACAATAAGCCAAGGGTTGAATTAACGCATCGCGATTTGCGATATCTGTTAAATTATCTGGTCTTCAAAGTTTCAGTTTATGGAAAACCACGAAATTTACGGAATAGGCGAATAAACTTTAATTTGTTAGTGAAAATGTTATGAAAAACAAAACAATAAATTTATGACTACAAAAGTAATAATACTGCAGTGTTGTTACTTTTATAACACTCTTTTAAGTTACATTTATAGTTTATTGTTTGATCAAACAACACCTAATCAAGATATTATAAAAAAAAATGATTTAGTAAGCTTTAATTAAAGTAGTAATGCATCTAAAAAAAATACAATGGATATTTAAACAATGTTTTTTAACATTGTTAAAAAACCTCAGCAACTTTTACGAATACATATTTTTATAAACAGTTTAGCTTTTTTAAACATCTTACTAACGGTCCGGAAAAAACGCGCGTTCACTTTAAAATCAACCAATAAAAACAAACTGGTAATTTACTTCTTAGGAGAAATCTATATTAAAAGGGGAGGGGGGAGGCTAAAAACTTAAATTTTGTTTTATTATTTAATCAATTAAATCATAATAAAAGTAAAGACAAAAAAATATATTTCTAAATATACTTCTTAATAACTAAAATTAATTAAATTGAACACCTCTGTTCTTAGTTTTAAGTAAATGTCAGTACTACTCTCAGTGGCAAAACTGCAGGGGGGGGGAGGGGCTTTGGTTAACAGACAAAAAGTGTCCTGATTTTAAACTAATTTTAGGTTGCATGGGCGATATGGGGCTGATTTTGAAAATCGTGTTATTTGTTTATAACTAGTCACTTGTTATAAACAAAACACTATATCTCAAAACAAAAATTCAGTGAAAATTGGCCTTATTATTAAAAAATATATATTGGTAACCGATAAATAATAAAACTTTCATTGTAAATTCTCCCGCTTTTTTTTATTATTTCCTCGTCCCATTTTATACATCCTGACTAAAATTCCTACCCCCACCTACCTTTGTATTAAGCACATTAGAGTAGTCAGTTGTAAAATTCCCCCCCCCCTCCACACGATTTTCAAAATAAGCCCCACATCGCCCATGCAACCTAAAATTAGCTTAAAAATAGGACACTTTTTGTCTGCTACCCCCCAACCCCCTCTGCAGTTTCGCCACTGAGAGTAGTACTGAGATTTACTTAAAACTAAAAACAGAGGTGTTCAATTTAATAAATTTTAGTTATAAAGAAGTATATTTTTAGAAATATATTTTTTTGTCTTTACTTTTATTATGATTTAATTGATTAAATAATAAAACAAAATTTAAGTTTTTAGCCTCCTCCCCCCCTCCCCTTTCAATATAGATTTCTCCTAAGAAGTAAATTATCAGTGTTTTCATTGGTTGATTTTAAAGTGAACGCGTGTTTTTTCCGGACCGTTAGTAAGATGTTTAAAAATGCTAAACTGTTTATAAAAATATGTATTCGTAAAAGTTGCTAAGGTTTTTAACATTGTTTAAATATCCATTGTATTTTTTCTAGATGCATTACTACTTTAATTAAAGTTTGGAATTACTCAACTAAATCATTTTTATTTATAATATCTTGATTATGTGTTGCTTGATCAAACAATAAACTATAAATGTAACATAAAAGAGTGTTATAAAAGTAACAACACTGCAGTATTATTACTTTTGTAGTCATAAATTTATTGTTTTGTTTTTCATAACATTTTCACTAACAAATTAAAGTTTATTCGCCTATTCCGTAAATTTCGTGGTTTTCCATAAACTGAAACTTTGAAGACCAGATAATTTAACAGATATCGCAAATCGCGATGCGTTAATTCAACCCTTGTAAGCATCATTAAGCTTTTCAATAATTACACAAAACTTTTTTTTATTTTTTCAGTGCAGAATATTTTTTATGATAATTACTATTACTTTCATATAAGGGTCATTTCATATCAAATCACCTAATGGTCCCCAGGATACCACCTCAAATTTGCTTCAAATTTTGACCACCCACAGCTTTTATGAAAAAAACACAATCCTAAAAATTTCAGCTTGATTGACCAAACCATTCAAAAGTTATAATTGAATTAATATTGACCAAAATCAGAAAAATTTAAGTATCTGGAGCTTACAGTAGTATTTTTTTCAATTTTTACCGGATCATAACTTTTTAAATAAAATAGATGATCACCTGAAATTTTTAAGGGTAATAGTTTTTCACCCAAATTATCTATTTTTGCAGGTGTTTTTGACTGATTTTAAACATTTTTTGAGTTCTTGTACCTCAAAGTTGCTAAATAACACAATAATAGAAAATTTTGGAAACTTTAATGTGCTACAGTTCAATACCAACATCAACCAGACAAGCTGTGCCAACTTTTTGTTACTTTTGTGTACTTAAAGTAACCACTTGCATAAAAAATTAAAATTATGAATTTAAAGTTATTTTAGCACTTGCAGCAGCCTGTTAAATATCACTTTTTTTTAAAAATACGATAAATTACATTCACTTTGTAGGCATAGAAAGTAATGAGACAGTTAAAATAAATAATGAAACTTTTTACTGGAAAGACTCTATATATAGACAATCACTAAAAAAAAATTCAAAACCTATACTCTATCTTATGACATGATTGTAGACCTATGAATTAGGTGTATATTTTTATTTTTTCCCTGAATAAGTATAATCAGTTTTTCCTAAAATAAAATCAGCAGCGTCTTAACCTAATTTATTTGATATGATTTTATAATATGTATTTGTTAAATCTTATGCATATAATTATAATGATATAATTTTCACATGGCTATAATTTCAGTGTAAAATACTTCAATTGCTTCAAGAGTTTGTATTAAAATCTAAATCTGCAGTATTTTCTGTATTTTACTACAGTATTTTCTGGATTTTATTATTTTAGTTTTTAATATAAAAGTATTTTCTGGATTTTATTATTTTAATTTTTAATATTGCAAGAACCTAAAAGTAAAAGTTTTGTGTATCAGGCCTTGTTTTAAAGCGTTACGCCTAGAGCGATTTACGTACGCCTTAAGCGCTTTTTACGTACGCGTAGAGCTGTTTTGGTTAAGCTACTTTTTATCATTTTTTAACTTTTAAATTAGCGGTAACATTAAAGAAGTAATTTTTTTTTTCAAAAAAACCACATTAACTTTTAAATAACGTAAATATGTAAAGGTTTTTATTAAAAAAAGAATTTACTTTAAAATTAATTGTTGTAACTTTTCATCGCGATATATCTTTCCTTTTTTTAATTTGCAATTAATTTGACGCTAAACTTTTTATCCAAATATTTAGCAACATGAAAAATTGTTTGTCAATCCTTGACTACAAATTTTTTGCAATGTTTTTAATAAAAAGTAGTAAAGTTTTTAGTAAAAAACTTTTAAAAAATCTATATTCCATATTTATTAATACAGAATATAAAAGTTTTTTGTAATATAGATTTTTTATGAATTTTTTACTGAATTTATAATAAAAAACATTTGCAAAAAAATTTGTAATTAAGAATTGACATTTTTTTAAATAAAATCTCAAAAAATGTCTTAATATTTTTGTTATCATGATAACAAAAATATCAAGACATTTTTTCGAGATGTTAAAAAAAATGTCTTTGCTTTTCTTATTAGTTTAATAGTATATAGCTTATAGTTAGTTTAATAGTATATAGATTTTCTTATTAGTTTATTAGAATATAGTTTAAGTTATGCGGGGGGAGGGGGTCGGCACAGAAAAACAAAATACCTGTTACTCGCAATATTTGAATGAAGACAATTTGTTAAAATTCTTCTGTGTGCGATTCAATAAGTTTTTTTTGTCATAAATCAAGTTATAATATAAGGTAAAGAAATCATGAGTAGACTACAACATCCGCTGATGACACTAATATTACGTTGAATATATTTATATAACGGAGGTTTTATTATGCACGCGCACATTACAGGTTCCGTTAAATAAATACTAAGGCACGTTTTAGTTTAATGACAGTCTCCATTTTTTACTAATGATTATGTATTTTTCTTTATAAAACAAAACAAACTAGTATATAAAAACCTTGTATATTTCTATTATCTCTAAATTGTTTAAAGTTCGAATATGGATTGTATTTTGAAGGACAAAAGATTTACTTTAAAAACTTTTAAATCTTGGGACTTTGCCGATGCGATGATCACAGAAAAAGAGAAGACTTACGTTATTAAAATCAAATGTAAGTTATGTGATCTTCATCAAAATAAAATATTATCCAAAAACAATAGTGCCATAAGGGCAACTGCCCAACGGTTTATAAATAATACAAGTCATGTTAAAATATTTTAACATGTTACTATATTTTAATTAAGTTGATATATAATTAAAAATAAAAATATAGTTCAATAATTAAATTAAATTTATTCTTAACAAAGATTACCTCATATTTATTCTTTTTTTTATTTTATTAAGTTAAATTGCTTACAAACGAAAAAAAAAAAAGAGTTTTGTAATTATACGTAGAATGAAAATACTTTTGAGTTTGTTTATAAGTTAAGGAACTTAATTTTTAATAAACAAATTTTTACGAACGTTTATTATAAACAGATACGATTCAAATGATTAAATATACTTAAATTATTTCAGTTGAGTATTTTTATAAGTTTGCACGATTAAAGTTTGGCGTACAAGTATTTGTTTTTTTGTTTTAAGAATAATTAATAAAAGAGTTTGCATAATTAAGACTTTTATATTTAATTTAATTTTTTTTTTAATTTCCTAAAATTAAAAAAAAAAAAGATTTAATCGTTGAAAACGATTTTTCTCTATAGCTCTGTTTCTTTGTGATTTGTTTAAAAAGTTAAATATTTTTACAATAACATAAAAAGTTTATGAATTAAATTCCTAGCGAAC